TATGCTGAGAACTTTGCACTTGGTGACTTTGAGATGCAGCATGTGGTCGATGCAGGCGTGTCGATGGCGGATGTGGACAACGCGGAATTCGCACTGCATTCCCCATCGAGCATTTCCAGACCTTCTCGAGGTCGAGCTGGAGGATCTGCTAGTTGTCCCATTGCTTGCTCGCGAAGGCAAAAATGTTTGAAGTGATAACTCGCTAGACGGTTAATGAAAACTAAGAACAGGTGAGGCCCTGGTACAAAATCCTGCGGTACGCCGCACTTCAATAGAATCGATTCAAAGGAAGATGTTCGGACTCTAACCTTCAATTGCTGATCTCGGAGAAGGTTACTGATCCATCCCAATACAGGATCTCGGATGCCACAACGAGGAACTTTGTAAAAATACGGCATTTTGATCCAAGCAAATGAACGCTTCTGAGAACTCTAATTAGATGACGTCGGTTCCTGTCCCCTCATCGACTGTTTCGATCCAATTGTCGCGTGCTATCAGCAGATCCGTGTTATTTGAGCGATGTTAACAAAACCCGTGTTGCTCAGGCGCGATGATGCCGCGGTTTTCCAGGTAGCCCAGCAGTGCATCTGCGATGATTGCTTCCATGGCCTTGGCGAGCATAGAAAAACGTCACCGGGAAGTAATTAGCGGACTAAGGTTGACTTCCTTCCCTGTGAATATGAGTAATACTACTCCGTCTCCACTTCGACGGGAGTGTGTTTTCATCTAGACGGCGTTAAAAGAATCCATTAAGTGGTTCGCTAGGCGCATACCTGCCACTTGCAAAGCTTTCGGGTGAATGTTATATGCTCTAGGATGGCTGTCTGTACGTAAGGATAGCATCGTTTTTACGACCCTGTTCCTGACCTGAATGTGACGCTGAAAAAACTGCTGGTAGACGGATAGACATAGAGATAGCGTTCGGGCTTTGTACGTCATGGAATATAGGTAAGTACTGCGCCCGTAAGGTTTGACGGCCTTTATCGCCGTGGCTGTACGTCACCAGCGTACCACTTTACAAAGTCCATTTACGTGCATGTAAAGAAGCTAGTGGTTATAAAAGTAGTAGCATTGGGCTACGTACGCTGTCAAATTTCCTGAGCTCAAAGATCTTTTACACGCGCCATGCCAAATCCCTAGGGCCATAGAATTGCGTGGTCTTTTGAGGAAAATGACTATGGTTTTAGGGAGACAATGGACAGCTTTTTTCTCCCGTGCTTTTGTAATCAGTGACTTGTAGGTTTTAAAGAATACTTCCATGCTATTTTTGGACGCACTCAGTTGCAAATGTCCAACTAACACCTTCAACAAATACGGACAGTGCGTCGTAGTGCGCAATAGAGTGCGTTAGCTCGTGCTCGGCATCGGAATAATCTGGTTAGTAAACCTAATAGAACAGTAGAGTCACGTGATCGTTTCGACACCAAAGTGTGCACAAATCTAGCCCATCAATCATGAGCTCCTCGATTGAGAGCACTAGGTTTAACATAGACGGCTTATTCGCTGCTCTAAACACTGTGGGAGCGCTGATGTACAAGGGTGTACAAGAGATTAGCTCTTGCATGTGGACTTTGAACTGTTCATTCTCGGTTGTTGGAGCTTGCAAATCATGAATGTTGACATCTACTGTAAAAAGGATATGGCTGTATTTGAAATATCACAACACAAATTGTCCAGATTAGAATGTGCTCCGTTTCTGGAGTGGATTTGGGCAGTCGGTAAATCACGGGCACAAGGCATCAGTCGTTGTCCTTCAACCATACCCTGAAATAACGGAAATCGTTTGGGGATTATCTATGAGTTCACAGTGAAGGTTTGTTTTGTAGTAAGTGAGCACTCCCCCTCCCCTGCCGGTTCTGTCGTTTCGGAGAAGTGACATACCGGGTCGAGTGATCTCGGGGTCGATAACCTCACAGCTCAGCCACGTTTCGGTGATCATTATTACATCTTCGAGGGTCTGAAGTCTAACGAGGACGGAGTTTGTTTAACTAACTAATAAAGTCTTGTGCATTTGTGTACAAGTAGAACATTTTCTCGGTAGCCAACAAGTAGTTCCTGAATTTTGAACTAACAGCGGAGATAGTGCCGACTTTTGAAGGTTTTTCCACAATCCGTTTTTGGGGGATTCGTTGGTTTTTGAAATTATTTTGGGTTATACGATTGTTCTCGTCGGTCCGCGCCCTATTGGTCGCCCGTATTTAGTCGTGTTCCGTCGGACGCTGAAAAGATAATTTGGTCAATCCGTTCGCAAAGTTGTATGAAGAGAAAATTTACTAATTTGGTCGTTTTCAGTGAGTCGTCGACCGTCTGTGGTCCTGTACCCGCTGCCTTTAACGGAATTTCTGCAGGTGGCCTTTTGCTGAGTTTTATTTAGTTTTCCAGGACGTCTGATGTCGCCAGCTTAGCCTGAGGCACAGCTTCCTCAGCCTGGGACCGGACACCTGGTAGTTGGATGGGAATGGGATATTTGAATATAACATCTATCGTAAAAACCGCCTTTATGGAAGAGGTAGTGGCTGTATAATCTACGTCAAAGACATGTACATGCTTTTTCTTCTGGATAACCCACTCCTGCACAAATTTCCTGATTGGATTTGGATTACCATTTCTAGCTGTCCAACAAATCTTATAATAGATTGCATTTACAAACCCTATCATCTGCAGTCACCATAGCCGATGACTTGGTAGACACTTTCTTTTATTGCCGAGCACCCTTACACAAATAAAATTATAACCGGGGGTTTTAATATGCCCGAAATATCCCATAGTCCCATAACAATGAACCACAAAACAATACATTTATGTCTACCCTTGGTCGACTCGGATGGGTACAGCACGTCAAAGAGCCTACCCGATTTGGTAACACATTTGATCCAATACTTACTATGGGATGTTCAAATGTCTCCAGATACCTCAGTAGCAGATAACCGGGTAGTTAGCATAACATCGTTGGTTGTTCTTGCCAAACTCTTTCTAAACCAATAGAATCAGTGATCATACACGGCACTTTCTTTTCTGTGAACTGGTCAGTTTTCTCCGGTCTCATAATGTCTGCAAATTGGGATCCATTTTTCTTATTACTGAACGTACAAATTGCCCATGCTGAGTTCTACCACCGTATTCAGCTTTGATTTGATGTTGTGGATCCAGAAGGTCGTAAGTTGAAAAGGACTGCTGCACCTGTAGGCATCTCTAAAAAGGTAGGCACTAAATTCATAAAATAAAATAGTTCAGGAAAACAATCGATATTATTCTGCTGATGCTCCACACCGGAATGCCAACAACATCATGATCATCAGAAAATGCTATGCTCCGAGGATATTATAGTACTGGAAAGGGCTAACATGAGAGGCTGCATCTCAAAACTATTGGACCATAGGAATATAGGAAATCGTTATATTAACTCGGTTGTAAACTCTGATGTAACTGCCAAAACCGATCACTCAATTATATTGTAGCGAACGGGATGGAAGAGCGTGTATTGCCACAAGAACGTGCAACTGACAACTCACAAACCGGTCCGATTTGGACCGTGTTTCCTTCCCACAACTCAATCTGGATGAGGATTTGTGTGACGGGCCACTCCAGGTGCCTACGAGGTTGAGCTTCGAAACAACCCCGTATCTCCGCTCCGCTATATCCGATTCTGGCAGGCCATGAGTCGTTCGAAAGCTCGCGATTCGCTCTCCCGTGGCTGCATCACTCGGCACGCGTTCAGTCCTGTGGGCTTTGCTAGCGGGGTATTTGTCTGGTTCATTGCGTTTTCGGCAACTATCTCCTCCGTTATTCTGGGCCCAGGCTCCTTATCAGATGCCTCTCGTGAACCGCTGTCGGCTCTATGGCATGACTAAGACATGCGGTGAAGGTATAGTTAGTAAGAGTTGCGATTATAACCTTGTTGCAATGAATCTAATCAGAAAATCTTTCCGCTTTGGCGACTTTCATTCCAACTAGTAGTTACCTACGAGCACGCGGAATGTGCTGTCAGAGAATGAGCGGTAGATTATCGATGCTCTTCACCCACGCCGTTATGATTCAACTAGATCCTCCTCTTTGATATCCATGTTTAACTCCCGTAATCGGAGTGTAACAAGAGATGTCGTGAGTGAGGCCGAAATTTTGAATAGCTAGTGTAACAATAAGTAAAGGTCTAAACCTTTATACGTCCAATATAAAGGCATAAGAGATCTACAAATTTTATAAATCCAGTAGTTTATTATTGCCTGGCAAGATGGAAAAATGAAACCCAGTGTCATTTTATGTGTGACACACTATATTTCCATCCGGAATGATAAGCGAACTGAACACTTTCTGGTATCCTTTCGCATGTTCTTCATATGTCATTGATAGGAGGCGGACTTTCCGATGGCAACTCCAATAACCAACTTAGACAGTTAGTCCCTATGCAGTCTTTGGGAATTCTCGTTGCTTTGCCAACATATTCCAGTTGAGCGTGCATACACCGAGACTCGCAAAGAACTCAGAGCAAGACTGCGTGCTAGCATGAATAGAGACCACGAAGCCTTGTGTTCTCATGACGCACACAAGATGAAGAGAGACGCTCCAGTTGGTAACCACTGAAAAATTACGCATTCTGATATTGGTGAAACTACATACAATGCGAGGAGTTAGCCTGTCCAAAATTTATCAAAACGCTTACAGTGCAAATCTAAGTATTGTGAAAAGCAATTCATTCGGCCTGAATTAAAAATGTCGTCAATTGCTAGGGAGCGATCTGCTCCGTGGGCCGTACTTTGGATTCGCCCTCTCGCACAGCAGTCGAACGCAATATCGGATTGCAGGACCAGATGGAATTCACTCAGGCATCTTCGGTTTTGTGCTACCAACTGTCGTATAATGTTTAACGCTTTAGTAGTAACACTATTGGAACAGGAGACTGTCCTAACTGACATGCCCTGGTGTGGTCATTAATTAGCTTCGTTTAAACAGGCGGATCTCACGCCTTGTCTTACCGCTGTGTGTATAAAATAGGAATTATATTCAACGATAAACTTTGTATTTCGAAATATACCTATCTGGAAGGAATCACATTTGATGGAATCACTAGGAGGATAAGGATATTAGTTAGGACCAAAGAAAACAGTCCCTAATTTTCCATTGTGGACTATGTATAGCGGAGCTTGTTCCTCTGATGTGGGATGATAATTTACGCAGAGTTTGGAGGGAGATGGGCAACAAGGCACACACAAAAACGAGATAACAACGGTTCAGGGAAGGCATGCCCACGACTGACAGACGACATTCTTAGACACCGTTCTCAATGACCTTTAGTGTCCATTTCAAATGCTCTGCTTCCAGGCTGCTGGTATCCTCGCCAATTCGCACAGCGCGTTGAGCACCATCTGCATATATTCCATCGAGGGGGCATTCTTTTATCTTCGATCCAAAAGACAGTGAACAAGGCTGAAAATTAGAAACCGTAGAGAACCGATAAGGATTCACTGTAGTTACAGGTAGTGGTGGCAGACGAAAACAGAACAACCAACCAACCACGTGGACTAAAATCAAGTCCCAGTGCTGACGAGCAAAAACACTGAGTCCAGATATTCACAATGGACCGAGTTGTGGATACGATTTAGTTGGTGATCGAAGAAAGTGCAAGTGTCTTCATGAGGAGGGCAGGTAACCTCGAATCCTAGAGAACACGCTAGCTTGAATCACTGTCCCAGTCAATATTGCACACCGGCTCCGTTATTTTTTATACTGTTAATGAAAGTGGTAGATTGTAACAGTAATCGAAGTTCTACTATTGCCATTTCAAGTCCTATAATGCAAACCATACTAGAGGATTGATTAGTAGTTTCAGAGACTTCTCGTCATCCTCGCTAGTTTTTATTCAAACTGGGATTAGCGTTCAAAACTCCCCCCTTTAAATCGAAAAGCTGTAGACACAAGTGGAAGATGAAACATTTGAAACTGAGGAATCTGCAGACTATTTTGGAGTGTTAATAATTCTTATGCGCACGTACTTTTATTATGTGTGAGAAAAGAAAAATCCACCGTTATGTGCAGTGTTGGTCCTAGAAGGGAACCTACTTGTAGATCCAGCGGGACCTATCAGAACTGATATGGTTGTGTTAAATGACAGTGGAAATATAGCGCAGATAGGGGGATAAAATGAGTCGTTCGGCAGAGTCTATCTGAATGGACCTAAACTTGCGTCTTCATTGGCCGAACTTGATCGATCTCGCAAAGTAGTAGTTATGACTTTGTCTGATATGGTTCGTATGCTACCAGAATGACGAGCTAAGAGTAAACATTTTTCTTATTGGGCAGCAAATATCCAGTGCCGAACAAAGCTATGTGTGGTAAGACCACCAAGGATTAGAACATCGCGCTGAATCGGCTTAATAAGCGACATATAGGCATCGAGTGTGATATAAGATGGCGGGCTCGTATCGTACAAGTCCTGTAGAATTAGAGCTATCCGTATCTTTTGGAATCCAGCCGTGCCATGCAGCTGAAAAAGCGAAGCTAGGTGCGCCCGAAGTCTTAAAAATCCACGTTGATGGTGGGGTTACCTGCTCAAAGCCGGAGATATGACAGTTCTTGCAGTTAAATTCCGCGAAATAGTGGCGTTGCAAGCTCTAGCAAATACATTCCGAATCAGCTCAAATAGTCAAGATAAATGCACCTGTTGCAGTCGTGAAACTCAGTGTGCGTCATCACCCAAGTTGCTTTATGCGACGGGCCTAAGCGTCTGCATACTTCATTTTTCTCGCAATCTTAGCGCTTGGCACATTAATACAATCAGCTACTTAGACACAGTGCTTAGAGTAACAACGGTCATAAAAAGTCTTTATGGTGATGGCCTACTGCTTATAACCACAGCCAAAAAACAAGTCTACATGATGACAGCTTACATTTTTAAGCCACATCAACACATGGTCAGACGAGGTGTGGAAATGCGGATGAAACTTCTCGAGGGACTGCCCCGCATGGAATGACGTCCCCAGGAGACGGTTCCACGAATGGTCATATTACTTTACTTTACTTCCAGTATTTGTATTACTTTAAATTTATGAAACACCACAACAACTCTGGGAACTGCTTTGTAAAATGCGAAAATCTCTACCATCAGGTTATGTCGTACAGAATGATCAGACCACGTAGTTTGCTCATATTTCATACCGTAGTGAACCATACCACCTATGTATTGATTTAGAAACGAAAGTTAGATTGAAGATATAAGTGAATCTTACCAAGAAGACATACACATCCACATCCGGTGAACTGGACGAGGTAAGCATCTTTGGAACGTACGAAGGAGGTAATAAGAGCACACAGAATGCTCCCGGCAGCCTGAAAAAACGGACAACTCTCTTTTGAAACAGTTTCAAACAGTGTAGTAACTTGAGTGTATTTGTGAAGGGAATGACTTACGAAAGCGTTGAACACAAGTCCGTAGTTGACAGCAAGGTTCGCGGCACCGAATAACCTGCCTGTGGCAGCAGGCATAATGGCAAACACGCCACTCAAAGAGAAGAATAATAGGCACACCCAGATCGCATAAAGGACCTTGAGCGTAACATCTTGAGTCAGACTCAGGTGTGGGAATGTTATCAGGATAACAGCCCACATTGACAACATGACGCACAGCGGGATCTGGGACAAGAAAAATAGGCATAATTGGGAGTTGGGAGAAAACGGTGACACGAACGCGATCATGTATACTATTGTATTGTTTTATTTGTTCAACCAAACAGTTATCAACTTACTGGAAACAATTCAAGATTATGGTGACATCAACAAGAGTGATGAATCAAAACTCATCGTACTGCCGATACAACGTCCATGTATTCCGGGAAACTCTTTGTACGTAGCTTCTAGTTCGCCATTTTGTAGAAACAGTTACAAATCCTAACTTATGACAACATGGGAGTGAAGACATTCTAACGAACTTTAACCACAGTACTGTGTCCTATATGGACCACCATAATAAAAAAGTGACCTACCTTAAACGAAACTTTGTCTACAAATGCACCCCAAACAATGCGGCCTCCAGAGTTGAATACCGAAGAAGTAGTGGCAATTGCGGATAAGAACAAGTCATCAGAGATGTAGAATTGTCCGAAGAACTGAAATAGCATGCGAAAAAGTGGTGAATGCAGTTTAGTCAATTCATTGGTTATCGCCGAAATCAAGCTTCCCTGATGCACTCACCTTATACGCCGAAGTGATTATTGTGATGGGGATGATATTGCAAAACATCACAAACCATAGAAGGTAGAAGTCCAGACGACGCAACAGTTGTTTGGGAGTGAGATTTTCCTCCCTGACAAAGATGGGGGAAAGGAGCTGTGAGAAATGGAATACATTGGAGCACAAAACACCGACAAGAGACAAGCACCGAAGTTGTTAAGTAAAGAAGACACAGAAAAGTTCTTCCATTGTAACCGCGTTAGAGGTCAGACACCGAGGAATAAAAAAACACAGGAGCCCACGACAACAATTTAATTGCTAATCACTGCACCAAGTGATCTGTCCTTACTCTGTCGATCTTCTTGTTCCGAATTTTGCACAAAATTACCATCGTCATCTTCCTTTCTACTTTCAGTTGCGTGGATATTATTATGGAGTGTCAGTAGACTGATGTAGTATTAAAACAAATAAGAAACAAATAATAAATGAGTATATGTTCCGACCGGTGGGATACGCTCACTTTTGTGGAACAATCACCAGCACGAGTCTCATCTTTATTTCATGTATGGACTTAGAATTCGATATGGATTGCTGATCATTGGTTGGAAGCAGCAAGTAGGGTTTGTTCTATGTAGCTGCATTCAATGTCACTCAGGGACAAAGACGCATTACGTTGCAGCGCGCTCAATATATTTTGCGCCCGCAGTGTTTGTCCAGGAACTTCTTAAATTCCGACACTGACTATGCCTCAACTACGTGCTGCGTCAAGTCGTTCTATACATTCAAAACTCTGCGTTCGAAACAGAGTTGGTGAGCGACCCGCTTCAAACCCTGTCGCAACGAGACTGGACCTTAACGTGGCGCGACGGTTTGAATACCTCATTGACCCATTGAGCTATAATGGGTGGCACCTGCGGGCATCTTGAGAGATACTCCTACCAGGTTGGTCAATGGTGAGAGGTCAGACAAACTCAGTCTCCTGGTCCTCCAGCTTGGGGGTTTGAAAAAGGATGGCGCCCATTTCTATAAAACTGAATCATTGCCACCTCCCCGCTGTCTTGCGGACAGGCTTCTGAGCCAAAGGCTTTGGATGAGGACCCTAGTCGTCCTCCTGACTAGGTCTGGGCGCTCTGGCAGTATCCCAGCCCACACACAACCATGACTTTTCCTTCAAACATAAACTTCATCCTGCACCGGCCATCGCGCAGATTATCAAGGGTCGCGTTATCTGCTGCATACAGCATGGCGGATAAGCGAAAGCATTCTACTGCTGGCGCCTTCCTTCTTTCTTTTCCACCCCATTATTAAACTTCCCACTATGATTCCCAGCTTAATTGACAGCAACCGAAGTGCCACTGGAGTAGAACCATCTGCACCCACCTTCTAGAGATACGCACCGGACGCCTATCGGCAAAAGTCCCTTATAAGGCCACGCTGTCCCGTTTCCATGGCGACATTCAACGTTCGCACTCTAAGACAAACAGGTCAGCAGGCTGCACTCGCACGCAACTTGGACACACTGGGTGTTGATGTGTGTTGTGTGTCCGAAACTAGGATTAATGACCCTAATGGGGTTGTTGAATTAACTGCACCCGGCATATCCTCTCGTTATTGGTTTCACGCATCCGGAGACGACGATGCGGCACTCACGGGTCAAGCTGGTGTAGGTATCATTCTAAGCTCCAAGACTGAGCCATCGTTGGTTGATTGGATTCCGATGAAAGTCCGTTTATGTGCAGCCCGTTTGACGACATCAGCCAAGGATGATTCCCGAAGTAGTAAAAAACGTTGTTTGGTTGTGATTTCTTCTTATGCTCTCACCGACTGCAGTTCTAATGCTGTCACGGACACTTTCTATCACGAATTGAACGCCCTAGTACGCAGTGCTATTAACTCAGATATTCTAGTAATTGCTGGGGATGTGAACGCACAAGTAGGGCTTGTGGGCTCTTCAGAAGCTCAGCTGGGTGGTAATTGTGGACTCAACTCCGAACCGACTGACAATGGTGAGCGTCTGCTGCAACTGTGTGCGCAGCACCAGTTGTTTCTTAGTAGCACTGCTTTTAGACACAGTGGGCGCCGAAGTGCCACTTCGCGTCCCCCTGTAAGTGGCCATCGATGGACCCAAGTTGACCACAGAGCCATAAGTTACAGATGGTGTGATTCCATCCAGGATTTCCGCTAGTACTGCAATAGCTGCGTCGAATCTGATCATGCCATAGTACGCTGTTGTTTCTCCATGAACTTTACCGGGAGGTGCACCAAGCGTCTCCTCCGATTGGCAACTGAGAAATTGTCTCAGCCCTCGGTCAGGCAAGCCTGTCAAGACGCACTGCATACCGAACTCTCGCTGTCTTGTCCTAATGACACTGAACTTCATTGGAATAGGATCTCGGGTGCCATGCACGACGCAGGAGCATCTGCTTGTGGCACTATCCATCGTCACCTCACTAGTCACTGGATATCCGAGAGGTCGGCGAACCTGTTGGAAGCTAGAAGACACCTCCCGGCTCTTTCTGAACACAATGTGACCAGACGGGCTATTGGGCGTGAACTAAAGCGGAGCCTACGTGCTGACAAGGAAGCCTGGTGGACCAGTCGGGCTCAAGAAATGGAGGAGGCAGGAGCAGTAGGCAATTACCGGAAGCTCTTCCAGCTAAGTCGCACCACTGTTCCCAGGAAAGCAGGCGTCAGTGAGAAAATCAGAGACAGTGCGGGTGCGCTGATACACAATAAGGAGCGCCGTATGGCTCGTTGGGTTGAACACTTTCAAGATCAGTTCAGCTGGTCCCCTGCTCCCGGACCTCTTCCTACTCAGGTGATGCAGGTCGAGCCATGAGCGGTTAATTTAGAGCCTCCGTCGGAGGCCGAGATCCGAAACGCGATCACAGCCATTAATCGTTTTCGTACCGCTGGCCCGGATTCGCTCCCACCTGCACTATTTAAGGATGGAGGTCCGCTGCAGGGTACTGACCTCCCTATTCGAACGTATCTGGAACGAAGAGTGTCCCGGCTAATTAGAGCTAATGGATTATAGTGGCAATATACCAGAAGAGCAGTCGGACAGACTGTCCTAACCACATGGGTATTAGGCTAACGCCAGTTGTGACAAAATTACTGGCCACGGTCATCGTTCGTCGCCTCACTGCGGAACGTGAATCTAGGATTAGGGAAGAGCAGGCCGGTTTCCGTCCAGGGCGTGGCTGTATAGAGCATATATTCACTTTGCGGCAGGTGCTAGAGCAGCGCCACGCATACCGCAGACCGACAATAGCTGTGTTCCTCGATTTCAAGAGTGCGTTCGATTCAGTCGATCGATGCATTCTGTTCGAAATACTTGCGCGAAAAGGTGTTCCCACGAAATATGTGAACATCCTTCGTGCTCTATACTCGGAGACTACAGGCCGCGTCAGGGTCTATGGTGTCCTATCGGGTAGCTTTTCGACTACAAGTGGCGTTCGTCAGGGTTATCCGATTTCCCCATTTTTGTTCAATTTCGTCGTGGATTCTATCATGGAGTGTTCCCTTGCGGAACCTCACGATGTAGGCGTTGAAGTGCTGCCTGATGAAAGATTAGTTGATCTAGATTATGCAGATGATATCGTGTTGCTTTTGGACGGCGTTGGGGCGGCCCAATCAACCCTGAATAGCCTGTCCAGAGTGGTCCCATTATTTGATATGCACTTCGAACCTTCAAAGTGTTGCCGCAGGACCACCAGCCACTTGATGACCCCTTGACCCTTGATAACGAGGAACTCGAGGTGGTTGATCATTTCACTTATCTTGGCAGCTGCATCAGCAATGACGGGCGCATAGTAACTGACGTGAGCTCGCGCATTGCCAAGGCCAGAGCTGCGTTCTTGAACCTGCGGCATCTTTGGCGACAGAAGAGAGTTTCCCTCCGTCTGAAAGGCCGTGTATACAAGGCTATACAGTGAAGGCCGTTCTGCTGTATGGTAGTGAGACTTTGTCCCTTCGGTCTGAAGATCTGAGGTGCCTTCAATTCTTTGCTCATTGTTGTTTGCAAAGCATTGCTGGTGATGGATGGCACCAGCGTGTCCGCAACGATGTGCGTAGGCGAGTACTAGATTGTGGTAATCATGCTAGCACCCTAGAACAACAGATAGCACTGAATAAGTTGCGTTGGCTCGGGCACATGCTACGCATGCCTGGTCACCGTTTACCTAGGACGGCGTTGTTTAATCTGCCAGGTGTACGGTGGCGCAAAGCTCGAGGTGGACGGAAGTTGACTTGGCAGCGGGAAATGAAGTCACTGACGACCAAATTGGGTGCCGTTGGTCTGTCTCGTCTTCCGAGCTGGAGTCCACGTGACTCTCCTTGTGCTTGGCTCGCGACTTTACAGGACATGGCTCGCGACCGAAGCCAGTGGCGAGTCTGCCGTCGTCTGCCTGCCTGTTTAAGTGTGTTTGGTGCTGAGTTATCTGCGGAGTAATGGCTGATTATGACTCGTGGCAGTGAAAGCCGCAAGGAAGGTGTCTCGCCGATGCCGCCTTATCTTTGCACGATAGCCAGCTGTTTGTCACGGTATGTTGTCTACACAAGGTGTAAGCGCCTTGACCCTGAATGTTTGCTTAGGGCATTAAGTTTTCCAGGTAAGTCCCCCTTCCCTCCCTCTTATTATTCTTTATTTCATGGGTCATCGTGGTTGTATGGCAGCTAAGCGTCAGTTCAAACGGCTGATGTACTGCGGTTGTTGTTTTGTTTTTGTTTTGTTCGCTTCAAATCCGGTACTACCAGCTTGTACTGGTGTCCTCGTGTGCTGCTTGGTGTGCGTAGATGAAGCAGCGGTCTCAAGATAGGGTAATCTCCCAGTTGTAATATCCGGTGCGCCATTACGAGGTCAACCCGCATTCAGCGATAAGCTACGGTGTACAGCCCTAGTTTCTTACACCGGTCTTCTTACGGCACACCTCGTAAGTTGGGAATCAGCCTAGTTGCTACATGCTGTACTAGTTCAAGCTTTTCTACTTCGCCCCGGGTGACAGGTTAATACGCGGGAGAGCCATACTCTAGCATTGGTCGTATTATTGAGAGGAAGAGGCGAGTGGCAATCTCCTCGGAGCAAGTGCCGAAATTGCACCTGAGCACCCAAAGCATACGAAGGCTGTTTTG